ATGAATCCATTACCCAGACATAAATGACTAGAAAGGTAAGAATATTCAGTAGCAGAATAAGACTTAATGTCTTCTGTCTTACAGAAGACAGTGCCATCAGTAAACTGCAACAACCCAGGAGCTGCTCTGGTGACTGCTGTGTATCAGAGTGTCCCTTGGAGGTCTAAACTACGCTAGAATAATTTTGCCAGTAACATAAACACATTGGTGCATTTGTCAGGTGAGATGCAGTTTCTATTAGTAAAATAGTGGGTTTGCCATTACAGGTGTACGTTGGGTTCCCGAAGAAAGTTTTGCTAGCAATGTCGTGTTTTTGCTGGTGTAACTGAACATATATTGTGATCTCTTCTGGGTCAGGCTTGTTAAGAAAAAGTTACCTTAAATATCCATCTTACAGACTAGAGCGGCAAAGGTTAATTGTTTAAACTTGACCCAAATCTCCACTTGTTCTATGGAATAATAATTTGCTATTTGATCTAAAACTAGAATTATGAACCTACCCAGTCCGTAATGGACAAGTAACTCTTTTCTCATTCTTCACCCCAGGTTGAGTGTGTAGCTAGGTGCACAATGCTGCACATCACTGAAACCATAGTTCATTGAGATTTCACTGGGACATATAGGGCCCATGCTGGGATACACAATGCAGGTGACAAGTCTCTCTCTGGGATCTGCTGGTCCTTAACTGAGAAATCTGTTCAAACTGTTGCCAGCTAGTCTCTTTTACACACACATGTATCAGAAAGTGTGTGTGTGTGGGGGGGGGAGTGTAAGGGCATGCAGCAGAGAGGGAGGAAGGGAGAGAGAAAGCCATCATAATGCCTTCTGCAGAAAAGTAAGGCTTATCCAGAGACTAATAAAACAATAATTTTGGCAGTGGAGAAGTCCTGAGTGAGGTAGCTTAATGCTTGTACCTTTGTTGCCCATATGGTAAAGTCTCAAATAGACTACCTAAAATAGTCATATCTAAAAGCCAGAAGAAGAAAAAAAAAAAAACCTCTCAGTTCATATTGTATGGACTGGCTGGCTGGTGGCCAAACTCATGACAGCTTGTATTGTGGCTGGGAGAGCAGCGTGGCTCTCGGATCAAGGTCAGCAAATTTTTAATGAATGGAGCTTGATTACTGCTCCCTTTGAGGGAAAAGGTTGTTTGGAGGTGAGCAAGGCTCAGTACAAAGGCATATTCTGAATGCACCCTCCTTCACACACCAAATTAGGTGAACTGAAGCTGTCTCAAGTACAGTTCCTAAGAGCTTGGGAATACCTGCGTAAGAAACAGGCACAATAACTCTATAAACTGAGGCTGGTACATCCTTATCTTAGCATGCAGTATCCACATTCACGGAGACCCTGTGAACGGTTTTACTTTAGTGTTTCACCACATCCCTTATACAGCATTATTCTTCGCCTAATTTAAGGCTTAGCCTTGTAGGATTTTGTATTCCCAGACCCAAGATTGCAGGACTGCTGGGACTGTTTGACTGGTTTGGCATCCAAATCCAGGCTGTATCTCTCTGCATTGTATACTGAGTTTGCTAGGACTTAACCATTATTATAGAATAGATTTGGGGTAAAATTAGTCCCACTGCAACGGCAAGAGTAGCTGAGAGTAGCAGAACTAGAATTTCAAGCACAAGTTCTTTTTAGAGGAAGGACCAACAATGAACAAGAAAGCTGAATTCTGGTATTAGGGGTTGTTGTGGGAGCTGCAGTCTCCCAGAAATGTCAAATTCCTGAGACTGGCTGTGGGTCAGACCTTTACATTAAGCTTCTCCTCTAGAACCAAATCTGGATGAAGATCAGAAGACAGACACCAGAAAGCCATGCTTTGCTTACATATTCATAGTTTAAAACAAAAAAAAAAAGGCAATCCTTTTTAAAATCATGTTCATAAAGAACTCCCGAAAGTTCTTTCTGAAAAGACAGCGCTATTTGCTTTTGCTAGGTAGAAAGGAGAACTTCTTCTGTGGTATTCATACCCTATTTGGGAATTACTTTCCAGCATCCATGGGCAAAGTTGTTCAAAAACAAGAGAGCAGTAAAAAAATAAAATGGTAAAGCTGCAAAGCATTTTTTATCTTGCCAGACCAAAGCACTTTTTTCCTAGTATTTCAGGAAGGCTTTGACAGTCCCTGGAGTTCATTAGCTTGACTGTTTTTGGAAGTGATTTTCCTTTCTCATTAAATCATCTACTGATATTGAGAATGATTTTGTTTACAGCAGTATAAGGCTATTTTTTATCACTCCATGTTAGATGCTAGCTCTCCTTCTGACCTTTTTAACTAGGTTTTGCTTTGAACAAAAAAAAATGTAAATATTGTTTTAAAAGGAGCAGTTTCAGTGGTAAATTGGATTGCAAACAGTGGGATTTATAATCTAATTCTTACATGAGGAATCAGAGTTTTGGTATTAAGAGCTGGAGCACTCCTCTGTCTATATGGAGCATTGCTGTAAAATCAGGGAGTTCAAAATTCTTTTTTTTTACCTTTATATATTCTTACATAGAAGGGTTAAAAACATATTGTTATCCTAATTAATAGTGATTGGCAAAGTATTTCCTCACCCTGTGCTGTAGAAAAGAATCATGCATATTTGATGTCCTTCTCCTTTTCTCCTTAACATTTCAAATAATTCAGCTAGACTATCTCCATCAATTGGGTAAGCAGAGCCGTAACACCTACTTAGGGGAGGGGAACCATCTGGTTTCCTTGCAACTTGCAGCCTTCTGGCAAATATTAGGTTGTACCAATTTAGAGCATGATGAAGTGGGAAATAATGGACATTCTTGAACAATCTGAACTGGGATCAGCTGTTCCTGGCAAAGATTGGCAGGTGCAGTGCACTATGCTGGCTGTAAGCATGGGCTCATATCGGAGAGTGCAGCTGGGAAAATGGCCTGCTAATTGAACGGGAGCAGGACGCCCAGCAGCTCTGACAGTGGTGGAGCATCAGTAATTGGAGGCTCTCGGTTGACTTGGCGGAGGCTGTCACTGAATGAAGTAAATATCGAGTGAAGTTGATATTTACTTTCTAGGCATTAGTGTGTTTATTGCCTTTTACTCAGAAGTGAGCCCTTGTGGAGACCAAAGTACTTTCCAACTTGGGAAAACTGGCGTAAGGCTGACAATATCTATTTCTTATTTATATTTACAGCGTGGTTGCAGTGATTTGGAGCCATAAAAGCTACTCAATTACACATTTGTTTAACTTCACACTTCTGTTACTGTTATCTTTCCCTTTCCTCTCTTTTTCCTTTTTATTTTCACATATTGTATTAGGTTTCTAAATTGGCTTAGCTTGGAGCAGCAATGCTTCTTTTTTTTGCAGCCTCGAACGTCCTTGTACTTGACTGAGTTTCTCAGATACTGCCATAATTCGTACAGTGAATACAGTAATAAAAATAGTCTTTTGGGGGCGTCCAGAATTAGTATTTCATGTACCTCTAGTTTATGTGGGCCTTACAATGGTAGTGTGTGCAAAAGCATGTATGCGTTAGCCACGATTCTCTTTTTCATATGTTGTTTTTATTCATTAAATGCAAACATATTGTGTCGCATCCTAGTTTAATATAAAGGTCTGTTGGCAAAATGTGGCATTTTCCCTCAGCTGTTAGCACCCCTTGAGGGAAGATCTATTGGCAATGAGCACTGCGCAGAAAATGCTGCTAACTTCAGAGTGCATTTCATACATCAGTGACTGTAGCACCCCTATGCGCCTAAAAATTGACTAACTGCGTAAGAAGCAGCTTTCCTATATGAGTTATGGTAGCTAGGAGGTAAGATGCTTTGGAGACAGGTTGTCTCACACAGCATGCCTTCTGCATTTTTAGCATGAGATTATCTTGTGAGTTTTGATTGATAAAGAACAGCGGGCTGAAAATTGACCTTGGTGGTATCCGTATGTTCTGCTTTCTATGTGGACTGAAGGCCAAGTTTTAAACCCTTCGCTAGGACTGATGAAAACAGCTTTTTAAGTTAGACCCTGAGCAAGTCCCCTGGGGCCATCATGATCCTCCCCAGCAGAACTGATACAGCTGGAAAAATGCCTTTGTTTTGTTTTTGCATTAAGATAACCTATGGCAGGTGGAAGGCAGGGAGATAAAATCAGAAAGTTTTAAAAGCTGGCTCAAAAGCCTGTGTGGCAAACTTCAAGAGTATGCTTACGATGAGCCTGTGAATAGTGAGCAATTAATGGGGATGCTGGCAAGCTGTAGACAGTCTGACACCAATAAAGTCTCTGATGCTGTTACCTGCTCCTGTATGTGCCCACACCTCCCTGCTGACTGCAGCAGAATAAATGTTGCCCAAGAGCAGTGTTTTCTTCTGTGGTACGAACTGGAGCAGACATCAGCAGACTAGCGTCTGAACTGGGAGAGGCGTGGGCGAGAATAAATCAGGGTGCCATGGCAATTGTGTGGGGAGCGCAGGTGCTACCCCTAACTGCGTCTCCAATTGCACAATTGCCTCCAATTTGGGGTGTCTGGTTTTAGCCCAATTCTGCATCTCTCTGTTTTTCAGGCATTAAAAAGTGGGTGGAAATAATTTGCCCAACTTCAGAAAGTTAAATAAGCTGAGCCTCTCCCTGGAGCTGGATAGTAGCACTATGCTGTATGTGTTGTAGGGCCTAGGGGACTGGAAGGCTTGGGGCAGGTTTCGACAAACATGAAGTGTTGGTTTGAGTCACAGGGACCTGCCTGGCAGACAGAGAGATCACAGACAAATAATAAAACCAGGTTAGATTTAAACATTTGCAAGGGCAAAGCCTCCAGGTGTGCGGTGCGTGGGTCTCCCTCGCCATTGCAGTGCTCAGCGCTCAGCGCTCAGCGTCATCCCCCTGCCAGGGCCGGGGCCAGGACGGCCACCCCTGCCTCCTCCCCACTGCCGGGAAAGGAGCGCGGTGCTTTTCCGAGGGAGGTCCTGGCAGGTCCAGCAGGCGCCATCGGCAAGCTGTGACAGGTCGTTAATGTTCCCCCTTCTTTTTTTTTTTTTCTCTGCACTCAGCTCAACGAATCAGCTAAACAACTTATTGAGATGGACAAGACATGCTTAGCTGCCGCGTCTGGCTGTGATGTCCCTTTGCCATCTGACACCACCATGGCAGTCAATTTGGCGCAGTGCTCTACCTTAAACAGTACAGGAGCGGTCAGTGCCATCCAGAGGCACATTGAGGGCAAGAAGAATGCCAAGAAACGCCACTCCTTCACTGCTCTCAGTATGACACACAAATCCTCCCAGGCCATGAGTAACAGGCACTCCATGGAAATTAGCGCTCCCGTTTTGATCAGCTCTAGCGACCCGCGAGCTGCTGCCAGAATTGGAGAGTTGACTCATCTTTCATCCAGTGCTCCAGCCCAGGTAACAACGATGCATAAATGAACTGTAACGCTGAGCTGAGGAGAGGCTACAGTTACATAAATAGCCCCATTTATTAGACCTATAACATCCCAAGCACCTAGATGGTAGCTGAACAAATGGAAGTGGTTTTGGCATAATTGCGCGCTGTAGACACCATTCTGCTTTTCAGTGACTTACTTCTTTCGATGACATTTACTTCCAACTGCCATAAAATGCTATTATTTTATTTTAATTTTCTAACTGAAGGGGTGCTTAAAGGTCTCGTTCTGGTTTCTCTTGCCAGCCCTAGTTTGGGATATTTCAGGCTCACATTAACAATTATCTCTAGGCTGACGCTTGACAGACAGGCTGGTTCATATGTTTCCTTCTCCTCCCCCTACAACTCTCACGAAAAGATCAAAATAATCACTTTGCCCATTTGTTAAGAAAGATGCGTAGAATTACGGTGGTAATAATAAAGAAATAGTGACCTAGTTCTGAGTCTTTTGTACGTCTGCACAGCCAGAAAGGGGCAGCTCAGATTGCCGCTAAAAGTCCATTTTGAAAGAATGTGTCTCAGAAATCAGAACTGTCAGCTTGCTGATGCATGCGTTTGCAAAGCCAGGAAAATACACAGCTTTGTAAGCTGACTGTTGAAAGCACACAGCCCAGAAGGTCTGATTTGTCATTGCCTCACCTCTTTCAAAGTAATTTACACCTCTGCTAAGTTGTTTTAAAGTGCTGTCATTCTAATTCTCCAGCTTCTCATACCTGTCCAGTGATTAATGCATGGGGAAGACAGATGCAAAATACTATCAAATAAGGCCGCATGATGTTAGATTTGTTTTGCAAGAATGCAGTCTATTAAAAATGTAATTGTATAAATAATTTATTTGAAGTGCAAAGTAGCGCAGCTTATATTCCGTCGTTTTCAGTTACAGAAAGGAATAGTTTTCAGTGATCCTATCACCCTTCTCCTGAATGTATTTGATACCCTGTAGGATAACAATGTTGGTATGGAATTCATAGGCTTGGGTACACATCAGGGATAAAGAATAGTTTTACAGTAATTATTTCCCTATAGATTACTGGAAGATAAACAAATGTACCCTACTGTAATAAGTGTTGCACCTGGCTAGTAGCTCAACAACTCAACAAGGTTTTACATTAGAATACGTGCTGATTGTATAGGCCCTTCCCTCTATTCTCCTTTCTAATGAGAGGGAGCAAAGGCACATTCTCATGAAAATCCCAGCAGAACTGAAAAGGAACTTCTGAGCTACGTCTTCTGAAGTCCTGGCAGAGACATGAGCCAAACGCACCAGGGATATGCTGAAATCCCTTGCAATTGCCCACTGTTTCTGTGGATAAGGGAATCCAAATGGTAATTTGCAGTTTGAAGGAGTAAAAGAAAATGGAGAATAATAATAGCGCCAAATCTATTCTACCCTGGCCTTCTTGCACAATCTTCTAAACACTTTGTGCACAGCTTAGCTTCTCTTAAAGCATCAATAGAGTGTGTCTGAGAAAACAAGAGTGTGCAACTGCACTAGTATTGCAGGTCAGATCAGGAGTTCACTGCTGAAGTGAACCACCCAGTTGTCCCCTCCTACTGTACTTTGGTTTGTGCCGTGGAGCAGGCTCAGACCACATTAACAGGATTTCTTTCGGCTGAACCTAAACTGGAGCATGCATTTCCAGAGCATACCTAGTGCGCTCCCACCACAAACAGGCAATCAGTCCATGGGACCCAGCCAGAACTAGTCTAAGTAAAAAGCCCCAAAATATGTTTGCTGTTGACACTGGGTCCTCAGTGCCAACCATTTCCCTCTACAGATCAACCGCTTTTGGTCTGCGTTGCCTGCTAATGTGGAGGTAACCTAAGTGTAACAGGGTTTTTCCAGCAATCATTTAATACTGCACTCTGCTGAAAAAAAAGCTGGGCAAAGGTCAACGTTGACAAACCTTCGGACTCAGGTCATGCCTGGACTGGGACAAGTGTGTGCGCACCCATGCAGCGACCCGAGGCTGGAAGCGATCCCTGGTACAGCTGCTGGCCATGCTGGTATGTGTGCAGACAACTGGGGGAGTGTGCAAATGGCAACAAGCAGCAAAGCGCAGGGGCGGCTCAGACTGCTTTAGGCAGGGATGCCTATTTATGCTTATTTACAGAGCTGGCAGGGCTCCGCAGTGGGGACCAGCGTGACTTTCCTCATCTCTAAACCTGCCCCAGGGCCTCCAGTACACACTTGTGCCACGAACCATGAGGCGAGGGTCACATTCTTCACGTATGTGCCACACTGCCGCCGACTGCATGATCGGGCTCCCAAGCCCCTGCAGCGCAGGTTGGAAGGGGAGACAGGGCGCCTGTGTGCAGCACTGACATGTTGAGCAGGGCCAGCTGAAACGATGGGCTGAGGAGACGCTGCCACGGCGGAGCAGCGCGCTCTGCTTCCACCTCAGCTGCACTCTTCCCCTCTGCTCCTCGTTTGCACGTAGGAGCCGGCGAAGCAGCTCTGTATTTAGCTGATTTTCTTCCTCCTGCCTTTTCCAGACAGAGCCTCTTTGCCGTGAAGTCTTCCCTTCCTTTTCACCCATCAGCAGGAGGCTGGAGGTGAGGATACGGCCCCTACATAAAGCACCATGTGTGCCAAGATATCCTGGGACATCTGTGCAACAGCATAAGTACTAGACATGGGTGAGGGTCCCTAACTCATCAAGTAAACGACACTCAGCTTTTTGTCACTCAGTGTGACACATTTGGACTTCACAGAGATGACAGTCTGTGGCTTTTCTGTTCTTATATTAGTCAAGAAAAAAATCATGCACGCACTTTGCTAGAGTAATGTGAAGGCTCGCTCTAAGCTAATAAGCCACAAAAAAAAAAAAAGCATAGTTACTCTCCCTCTTTTTAACAGAACAACTGGCGTGCAAAATTCCACTCCTTTTGAAGATAATTGTGGCACTTGGGCACAACTGGTTGGTGACACGAAGGGCCATTGGGGATCACATATTTTTTTCCAGAATTTCTGTGCAGTTGGTCTATGAGGGCACAGTACGTCCATCCAGCACTTTCCAGAAGTATCTGCCATGAGGTGCAGATGTGCATGGTGGCTGGGCAGCACAAGCGCAGTATATCCAACACATCCCAGCAGTTCTGCATGTGTGCAGCACTCACAGATATACTAGCTCTAGAGGGTCTACCTTATTCGCTGGCCACTGGCTCTTGATCTGACAGTTTGTCAAACTTCTGGAAATCACAGATAAATAAAACTCTTCAAATCTGCCTGGACAAGTAAAGATTTTTTTTCCAGGATATTTCTTTGTTAAGTTAAAAGGAGATAAATTTCTCCTAATAAAATGCTGCTTAAGATCATGATGGGACCATTCTCTTTTTCACGCTGGCCAATGATCTGCTCCACCAACACACTCTTGTATTTTATTTTGACAACCAGTGGAGGAAAACGTTCTCCAGAGTAAATAATGGTTATCAAATTGCAGTCCTGTAGAAGGTTGGTTGGGTCCTTTCTCTGCAGCAGAAGGGAAGACATGTAGTCAGGGTTATGTGCAGAAGCAAAGCTAAGGCTGGGGTGTAATGAAACCGCTCAAGTGTGCCAGAGCAGGGACAGGCTGACGCAGAGACAGTGCTGCATCCCCCAGTTTGGGGAGTGAGTCTTCTGCCTCAGAGCAAAAGATGCAGGTTCACAGAGATGGCAGTAGAGCACTTGCCTTGATTAGCGCTGGCCAAAAATTTCGTGGCCAAAATCCAAGAGGGGGTTCAGATCAACCTTATTAAAAAGAAGTTTCCGCTTGTCGACACCCATTATTGCAGCCCCGAGGACCCAGTCACCCAAAATGTGACATTTGCATGCACAAATACATATGTCTGCTTTCTGGTGCCTTTTTAGTGCTTTAAGGTTTGAGGAATTTAAACATGTATATTTTCAAACTTTGCTAGAAATGTGAATCTGCTAAAAAAAAAAGGAGAGCTGACATTCTCACTATATTCTCTTGACTGTAGGAGCAAGAGCCTTTAGAAAAATGCCTCTCTGTTGAAATGCTTGCAATGAAATCACAAGAGCTACCAGCATTAATTTTCCTGCTTTCAGCTTTCTTAGTTAGCTCTACAAATAATTTGAATTTACCTCTTGCAAAACAAATAGCAGCTATATTTATTTATCTATTAATCCCATAATTATAGGGATTACATTTTAAATCAAAATGTCAGAAACTCACTTCCTTCTCTGCCATCTGCCAGGACCTGACATGGCTCTGAAACAATTAATGATACTGCAGCCCCAGACAGAAAATCAGTTCAGCGTTCCTCTTTTATTCAAGTGGTTGAACGCCAGCCAAAGTAGCGTGAGCAGCAGACCCCTGAGCAATCACGTACAGGCATTCATGGCAACGAGAATCTTGTCTTTGGATTGTTTTTGTTCTAAAATGTGTCTGGCATTTTTAAGGTAAACGTTCTCTATGTCTTATTAGGGATTTGGCATCCTGACAACCTACAAACTTACTCTGCTGTGATGTTACTGAGAGTGTGGGCGGGTTGGTAAGAAGGCTGTGCAGGTAGCTGCCAAACTTACGGGTAAGCTCTGCCACACGTAGATGTCTCACCTTTTTTTTTTGCTCCCTTGAAGAGGAACCTCTATGCCCTACAAGTCACCATCACAGCCCTCGAATGGCTCTTTCTATAACCATATCAGGCCCCTGCTGGTTTGCAGCAGTAAATTCAGCCAAAGTCTATTTTTTATAGGGGAAACAACAAATTTGCAGTTTCACTGCTGGCTATCTGGCAAAGTTATGCCTTTCCTTTCACCATTAGAATCTAGGTTTGGTTTGTTGTGCTTTTGTATCATGTTCTTGAAATTTCCAGGCACTTTACCATTGTTTATTTAGCAGATCTCCTTAGAAAAATAAATAAAGGAGTTTTGTTCATTTCAGTAGACATGAGTTTCTCTGGTATATATGAGGACTGGTATTTATTTAACTGGATGATTCTTCTACCTTTTTAAAAT